TTTGCTATGTCTGTTCTCCTGAGCAACAGATCCTGCAACAAAATTGTCAAATTCTATTTTTTTTTTTTTTTTTTTTAAGAGAAATTAAAAGACATGCTGGACATTTAAAAATAAAATTAGCCGTATACTATTATTATAGAGGCAAAGCTAACTTTGAAGTTAAACAAGACTAAACAGCTGTCTTTTATTTACATAATAGCATAGACATTTCATATATACTGCCCTCTATATTTAATGGCGACTAAGAATTCTGTCATATTAGCTATCATCTTAATTACATTTATTCCCTTAAAAGTCTGTCTTTTCACCCCCATCTTTTAAAGTGTACTCGCACACACATTCACACAATTGTTCATTAACAGAGTCTTGGCTTATGAAATTATGATTAGCAATGCAAGCAGAACTGTTCAGTGCAGAATATACAAATAGGATTAGTACTAAAATATGGACTCTGATGCTTAGCACTGGGTAGAATTCAATACTCTACAGAGCACATGCACAGGTCTGGGCAGATTCATCTGCAATAGAATCCTACTGAAGCCACTGGGATTCTGTGTAGGCATGAAGAACAACACTGAGAAAAACCTGTTTGCAAGAACTGGGGCCTACATTAGTAGCAACCAAAATGTATTATTACTTGGTAACTCTTCAACAGCCTGCAAGGAGCTGATTGTAGTCTCAGCATTGTGGCCAAAGATTTTATCAACTTATAGACAACTGTTCTTTCAAGTTCTACAGATGGCACTTCCAAATCATACTTAAAAAATACTGGTAAAGTACACCCAGAGTAAGAGACTTCCTTTGCCTATGATGCATCTCATTTGAGAATAGAGGAATGTCTTCCCTTACAAAGGGATTAGCTGATGCTTTGAGTCAGATTGGACAAAAAAGACTTTTATATTCAGTCACTTAAAAATAACGAGAGCCAGTCACCTCAGCAGTTCAACAGATCTCCAAAACTAGAATAATTTTTAGGCAGAAGAATTCAGCTCTTGGAAATCTGCAACTAAAATTTGCTTTAAGACACACTGATTGCACCATGATCAAGACTAAAAGGGCCTAATGTGAATGTGACAACGCAAAGGAAATTATGGTAAAGAAGGATTAGTCTAAATATTCTTTGAGATGTTTTACTGGGTTAAAATTCGGCTGCACAGTACACATGCACCTCAGGCACATAAGCTCAGAATTTTCTGGGGAATACCAGTCTGCCCGCCTTACTTCTACACAGCAGCAGCGATGCTTGCCCAGCTGCCTGCTTGGCACACCATGCTACTTCATGTCACTGCCAGATTCTGGCTCCAGGACTTCTGACCAACCAGCCAGGACCTGGGATGGATGGGCACTCTTGCTCTAGTAAAATGCCAAGCTTATCAAACCTGCCAAAGCTGAGCATACCAGTGCCAAGGTAGCCAGCACTGACTGGTAAGCAGTGCCTTGAGATGTGATATGAAGCCACTAAAATGAAAAAGAGCCTTAAGAGGTTACCATAAAATCCATGGCAACAAGGCTGCATGAAACCCATGTATAAAGTCTGCCCAAAAAGAGCCCCAACATTGAAAAAAAATGAATAAATACATAATACAATTTATTTTCCATAATATCATTCTGGTATGCCAAAAACCCGTTTACTTTTGTAATATACTTTTTGATTTAAAGAAATATGTCCAATTCAGATTTGGCAAAGATGTTTTAATGAAGTGATATTATGGCTAGAGGTATATCAGTCCATATCAGATCGGCACTGCTAAAAGGAAAAACTGACACTACTTGCAATTGGCTTTTTTGGGCCGGTGTCGCTGATATGTGCAGCTACTGGAGCTGCTCTTCTGGCCCAGCTTCAGAACCTAGGGAGTAATGCCACTTCCACTCAGCTCTCTCCTTTCCCACTGTTGCAATGGATGCCTAAAACCCAAGTGGGAGGGAGGCAATGAAACATTACTGCCCTAAGGTCTAAAACCACGCCAAACTGCTGAGGATGAGTGTTGCTGTAGCAGGGGCTCCAGCAGTCATGGTAACAAGCCCCATGGGCTGAATCCAGGCTATGAGGGCAGGTAAGTTCAGCCTGCAAGCAGCCCTGAAGGCTGAATGACCTACTTCCACTGAATGGATTCAGCTTATGGGTCCTATGTTTGGTACCTCTGCTGGAAAATGTAAGAGTCAAGGTTGTACATAAATCTTAATTCCACTCCTTTTTTTGTGTAAGTTTAATCATCTTTAACTGCATGACCCCAGGCTAATATTTTTCATTGGAAGTTTGCTTGCAGTTAGCAAACAATGCTTGGGGAAAAGCTGACTTATAATGTATTTGTTATAAACAGAAGCAAAGAGTAATAGTATACACAAAACACAAATGCTAGCTGTTAAACAGAAAACAAGTTTCCCTGTGTAAACTACACTTAGAAGAGAAGTCACTGCCTCATCTGCAGCATACATTGCAAACTGCCCATTTAGTACGGGCAAAAATCTATTTACTGAAGTGCATGTATAGCATTGGCAAGGTTGTTTGGGTAAATCTGATATCTTTTATTAGACCAACTCAAAGAGTTGGAAAAATTCTTCTTAGCAAGCTCTCAAGTTTAAATACCCTTTTTGTCAAGCTGAGGAAGCATCTGTTGGTGTGTGCTCTTCCTGGATGGAATGAAGGAAGAACACACACCAACTGCAGATGCTTCCTCAGCTTCACAAAGGATATTTATACCCGAGAAAGCTTGCTAAGAAGAATTTTTCCAACTACTTGAGTTGGTCTAATATTAAAGATATCAGATTTACCTAAAGAACCTTGTCTGCTTATGTCCTTAGACCAACACAGCTACAACCTGCACCCCTGTATAGTGTTGTAAATTTGAAAAAGAGAGAACAGATTTCAGATCAACTGATTCCTGATTTACGCTGCTCCAGCTCAACAATTTAAGCTAGAACGCAACAAAGTCAGCAGGAACTTTCTTTTGCTTCACTGTACACCATTTATCAAGAATGCTGCACCATGGGGATTTCTCAAGTGATCACATACCTGAGTACACTTTTCTGATGCAAAGGCCATATAAGCAGCATTAAAAATGATACTCCCAGACCTGTGTGCACTTAACTTTGCAACCTTTGCATTCCGTTTTTCTTATGGAAATTTTGCAGAACAAATTCAAATGTTACTTTCATTACCTGAGCAATATGGCCAGAAAACATACGACTGCCTAGGTTCACAGTTTTTAAAGTTTAGTGCCATGGGTTCACATTAGGCATTGTGCGCACCTGCATGCCCCCACTCACTCTATAAATGTGTTATGTTCACATTTGTAAATTTTATTGAAAAGTGCAGTGAGCAAGCTCGGAAATAGAATTCCTAATGCCCGTGAAGTGCCCTGCTGAATGAAACAGGTCTGTTCTGGAACTCACGGAAGCCATCGTCCCATAACCAAAGTGATATAGTGCAAGTCATCATTTCAATGCATACACAGAATTTTCTACAAACAGCCACTAGATTTTAAATTTTTAGGGTGGTTATTTTTTAAAGTATTAAGAATGTACAGTTCAGAGCTTTTTAAAAACAGGTGTAACCTCAGCAAATTAATTTCCACTGTTATATTTTAAGGCCCACATCTACAGACAAGATCCATAGAAAATGTTTTAAAAAATACCTTCAAAAAGTCCGTTAGAAAAACATTACATCATCTGGCAAAATTTAAAACTAGTCAGATTTTCATAAATACAATGAAAAAAGTCAAGGTTTTTCTCTCTCTTTAAAAAAGGTGGATTTTAACATTACCAGTAACTGTGATTTTGATAATTTTAAGGCACAAATCAGCTTGAAAGCTAAACAATTGATAAAATTGTAAAATGTTTGACTTTCATAAGGGAAACACTTCAACAACCTTTACTCTGATTGTAACACTCCCATATTTTTAAATGATACAATAGCTGAAAAATAAGATAAATTAAAGCTTCTAGATGACTTAAATAAGGTATTTCTTAAGAATTTGCAAAAACACCCATAACAATTAGGCCTTATATTCCAAGACTTAAACACAATTTTTACTTGAATAAAGTAAAAATGTAGACTGTAATACACCCCAAAATAGTTTTTTCTATATCTTTGCTAAAATGTTGCTATAAAATGGACCAAAAAAAAGGAAGTTCAAAATGAACACCATAATACTTCTATCAATCATTTCAATTAAATAGATCCAGAAAGGTTAAGACTGAGCATTCAAGCGCTCTACCACCATGTTTAAAAGAGAAGTTTTTATCTGAAAAAATGTATACAGATTACTCTGAATATTTCCTGCACAGCTTTCCACTTTTATCACTGACATTCACTATCAGCCTACCCCAACTTCCTTCCAAATACCAAAGAACTCATTTTGAATAGTGCAAGTCTTCCTAGTGATCACCTACATTAATTCTATATTCTATTACTTTAGCAAGGTAATAGATTTAGATGCATTTTTATGCCCAATGTGTTACCTTTTTTAATGATTTCCCGTTTCTTCTTCTTTGCCATTGTGGTATCACCATAGTTACACCTACTGGAATTTGGTATTTCAGACTCAGAATCAGAAGAACAATTGAAACTGGCTTCAGGTCCAGATTTTGAGCTCCCAGCAGTCCCAGAAGGCTCCACACTCTCTGAAGCAGAACTTTTCCCATCCTCCCTCTCCTCTGCTTCAGACTCTGCTGTGTCTTCTAAATCACTTAAGACTTTTGCTTTTTTGGAATTGGCTGGAGGCTTCTGAGTGGTCAGCTTCTTGTTGTTTCTACCATTCCACTGGTCTGAGTCAGAGTCTGCCCCATCTTTGGAGTTGCGCATCCCTACAGGTTTGCGTACAGAAATGGACTGGTCAGAAAGTCTCTGACTGCTCTCATCCTCTGACTTGTGGCTTCCAGAGTCATCCTCCAGAATTTCACCTGAAAGATCTTTCATTTCAGGTGAGGCAGCACAGACTGTTCTGTGGGGTTGTTTATAGCCATTGCTTTGCTTACCTGTCACTGCCACTTTTGTTTCAGTTTCAGAATTTGAACTTCCGTTTTCAGATTCACTAATGTATTTTCTTCTAGCAGCAGATGAACCAGGCTGAGAATGAGCTTTCCTCCTGGTGTACTGCTCCTTTAGCTCTTGTTCACTCTCCGACTTTAAGCCTGCATCATCCTCAGAGCCATCCAGTAACATTCTCCTGGCCGCAGCAGAGGCATTGCGGTGGGGAAGCTTTCTGTTCTTGCACCCAATCCCAATGCTTTCCGAGCTGGAAATCTCCTCCTCCACATCACTCATCAGCTTTAATTTATTAGCAGCCACCGTGGCACTTCTGCGTGGAATTTTTCTGTGTCTACCAGTTTTGTTCTTCAGTGGTTCAGAAGCAACTGCTGATGTATTTTCAGAATCACTTCTATATAATCTTTTTCTAGCACTTTTTCTGGTATGTCCATTCTCCTGAGAAGCAGACCCTACAGAATAAAGAACTGATTTAGTTCTTAAATATGAAAAGTTACAAATATTATATTTTGTTTTCTGCCAAAAGTAGTTAACTTGGAAGTCACAGACTTCCTTAAGTACAAAACAGCAACAGATTTAATTTGTTCAAATAGAGGAATTTAAGAAAACTTAAAATGCTTCATTTTTCTTGTTGAACTAAAAGATGAGTCTAAAATGGACTTTTAACCAAAATTACAAATCCTTTTATTAAGTACATAAGATCGCCTTTATTATTGGGATCATTATGAGCCTTCTCTTTACCAGTAAGACTTCTGAGTCCAGTGTTAATCCTTTCACCAAATTAAGGAATAAGATATGAAGAGCAGCTTTATTCTAAACAGAACTGGGGCAGAAATTGTACCAAGATGGTACAAAAGCCCTGTTGTATATACCAGATGTTAACGCGCAACTTTCACAAAGAGTAAATGCTAAATTAATTGCAGAATGCATATTAACTATTTTATATACATTTTTGCCTGGTTTTGGTCATTCACCAAAAATGCCAATTGAATCTTACCCATTTTTTTTCTTTGAGCTGCTCTGTTTCTAGTTACTCTGAAACTCCTGCTCTTTGTTTTTGATATGCCGTTTTGTAGTAATGGGGATGCAAAAGCCATAGACCTTTCTTTGCTTTCCTCAGAGCTATTCGTAGAGGATGAGAAGGAAGAAGCCAAAGTGCCTTCTACTTCACTTTCTGAGGGGGGGGGGGGGGGGG